CGGCTTGTTCACCCCCCCCCCTCCCCCCCCCCCCCCCCCTTCTGCGTGCGACGGACGGTTATTTCTGTCTCGGCTAGACCTAGCTTCGATGGCAACGGCGGACGGCAAGTCACAGGCAAAATCAAAGCAGTCATGCCCCTGCTCGATGATTATTAATGCCTATTTTGTTTTGTTTGTATTGCTATGTTTATGATGTATTCTTGCGTTAAATTGAAATGATCATGATACTGATCCAGTTTGAAGAGGTTGATACACTCGATGTGTAATATGAGGTTTTACAATGAAAAGGATAAGAAATGGACACGGGCTTGCTGAAAGTCACATGCACTGTGGACAGAAATGTAGTATATGGGAATACACACAAACAAATGGCTTGACAATTTTGTCCAAGCATTTCATCTTTTTCGTGTCACGTTTCGAATACGCGGGCATAAAATGAGCTATCCTTTTAAAGAATATTTTAGTCATGCAAGCGTTTCTGATCAACAAAATAATACACACATTAACACGATCGCAACTAAGTATTTTCGACAAATCAACTCACTTGGATTTGTCAATACCCTATTGTCGATTGTATGTCCCCACATGAATCATGTTCGCATCACGTAACACGTCATTGTCGTGTTCACACAATTCAATAGGTGACGCACAATGCTTTTGAAATTGCGTTGATTGTTCAAAAGTAGTTGCAAATAAAACGTGTTCATTATTTATTCCCTCAATTTGTCTTCATCAGCTCGAGTTGGCCAAATAGCCCGCCATTTTGTGATTCGGGAAATTAGCCCGAAGTTCTTCAGCTCGAAACTCGAGCGCGAGAAATTTGCCCGGTGTTTGCGCATAGTGCGAGTCTTCCGGCTGGTGAAGCGGACCACAAAATAGCGGGCTATTTGGCAAACTCGAGCTGATGAGTACAGGCCTCTAAGCCATTATTCAGATTTTTTTTTTTAAGGATTAATTAAATGGAAACTCGTTAAACCTTCATATTCAGAAAACTTGTGATCACCCACCCACTATAATTACATCCACATAGTTTGTTTATTGAGTCACTTTCGTTGTTGTTTCTCTATTTAACCTTAAACTGCATGTGAAATTAAATTCCCCCTCCCACCCCCGTTGGAAGACAGACTGTGCGTTGTTCAAACCGTACCAATAGTTTTATGACAAAACTTCGAGTTAGTAGGTCCATGATATAACCTGCCATCAGTCTGATATAACGGAGCTTCCCCGTCTCGGATAAGGGGAACCCCCATAATGGACATAGCCATCACGTGACTCGTATTCGGAAGGGCAGTAGTGTTAGAGGGGGATCCCCGTTTTCCTCTCTGCTCTTTATGTGTACTGGTTGATAGTGCGGTTGTCGTGGTAATGCAAGCAGGGAATTGTTACATTTCCCTTGTGCAACTTTAATTTTCTGAACAAAACATGTATACATTGTCGTAAATAGGAGCGCCTTGAGCAATGTGCGTGATTAATACGAGCTCTGTCGAAGTATCCATTATTATCATTATAATCGTTGTAAGTAGTAATATTACTATTATTAGAAGTAGCAGTAGTAGTAGTAGTAGTAGTAGTAGTAGTAGTAGTAGTATAGTAGTAGTTCATTTTAATTTCATCCAGTAGTAGACCTATTAATTTTATTATGATAATTATTATTGCTGTTAATTATTATTATCATTATTTTTTTTAAATTTATGTATTATCATTATTGTTATTATCATCATCATCATTGATCGTCATCATCATTGTATGTAGATTATACTACATGTAGATTACACCGAGCCTGCCATAATATGTATATTTTCTCGGACGTAGTATTATATTATCCATCCAAGTAAATTGTTAATATGTATGTTTTGTTCTATGAGCGCTATAAAAATGTCCATTGCTGTTATTAGTATAGTTATTATTATTATTGATATCATTGTGATACATGTAAATTACACTGAGCCTGGCCATAATGTATACTCTACCGGGCGCTATAGTATTATCTCTCAAAGTAAATTTTGAATATACATGTATGTATACGTTGTCGGTTCTGCACAATTCAGTAATTGTGTACACACGCATGTGCACTACACGAAATGTGTCTAGCGAACCGTAATTCAACAGTCAATAATACGGATGTTCTCTTGTTTGTTGTCTGTTCGTACCAGCCCGCAAAACTAACAGGGTAAATACATAATGCATAGTTCATGAAACAGCGCTGGACGCATAGAATATACCGAAGTGTGACATCATACTGGCCTAGTTGTCAAGGTTGCTGGGGCCCGTTTCTCGAAACCGTCATAAGACTAACTTCTTGACTAAATCAGCGCTTGTAAGCTATACTTGTCCGTTATACACGTTTCAACTTCGCAAATTTTAATAAAGGACAACACCCTGATTAAGGAGTTATGACGCCTCTGCGACCCTGTCATAATCTCTGTCATAACTCTGATGTTTAGAACCAGTAACCTGGTCCTCTACGACGAGCGAATATGACGTTAGCAATTTAGCATCTCGGTACTATACAGGGTTAATACCAAAGGGTGAGTTTCTCTCTATAAATGTTCGAATGAATTATAAAGAGAGAATATAAAAAGGTTCGTAATTCCGGACACTCAAATTGCCCATATCAAAGGCCTACAAGATGGGCCTACATGAAAAACTATAATCTTGATGCATTTGTTATTATATGTTCCTTTTGTTATTCGAAGAACCCTATCATCAAGTAACTTCGGAGTCATGGGTTAAATTAATCTTAACAGGGACGTTCCGGGGGGGGGGGACCAAACCCATAAGAAGCTTTTGTCTGCAAAGTAAGAATTAGTTGCCAAGACTTGGCTGTCAATGATTCGAATATTGACGCCATTTTTGTTCTATAGCAGGACATAATCCGACTTGTCGGATCCAATTCATTAGGTCGCTCTAATACCTTCCGGTCTTTAATTTCGACACGACTAGTGTCGACTTCCTCAGAGCCGAACGTAACAGATAACGATGTTCTATTGATCATATGCCAATATATTATGGGGAATATGTGTACACGTCATTTAAGGAATATCTAGGTTTGTGCAGTTGAACATGATGGTCCAATCATGGAACTATTCGTTTAAGCTCTATACTTACAGGGGTGTGGTGAGCACAACTCCGGAAAAAAAATCTCTGACTAGCTGGAAAAATAAATATAATCAAATTTCCAGGTCCGCTTTTTTTTTAACGCTCCCCCCGCTTCTTTGTATATGATTCGATGTGAGAGGGGGCACTTGTCCCCTGACCCCCATCACTATGCTAGTGTATAGTGTCACAATGTATACGACATGTTTGCGGCATAAAATGAAAGCTGGAACTGAAGCTGTCGACGATTTTGACGATTTTGACTATGCAGAAAACTTACTCGAAACAGCAATAAGGTTCAAAATCCGATTCAAATTAGAAACGTATCAACAAAGAGCAGGTGAAAGATTTAGGAAATCACCATTATAACACTTTAGGGAAGAAAAAGTCGATAAAATTTAAATCCACTTGTGTCTGTGCAAGAGTAAAGCTAATATTATGTGTGGTTATCAGCAATTGCTCGCGTGGGTCTAGACATTGAGGTGCACTGTCATCATGGGGGCGGGGTCATCGGTCTTAAATATAAAGTTGAGTTCTGGTCATGTGATTGCATTGTGAAGGAAACGGTGTGATCAGAAAAGTTGATAATGTAACATAAATATAGGTGTGTACTGCAAGGTTCTGGAATCATCAGAATGATAGAAGTTTTGCCCAGTCTTGGTAAAGTAACAAGCACTGTTCACTGAAAGATGTATATGGGACTACACAAACATGTGGCATAAAAATGTGGGCCTCATCTTTAAGCTTGTCATATTTAGGCAATATGAGGGCATTCGAGTAGCCATGCTTTTCAGGGAACATTTTGTTCTCAGATGTTCTTCCACACTTAGATAATTATGATAACGTCACCTCTCCCCTGAACTCAACTTTGAGACAGTTACCGATTAGGGCAGGTGATGGGAGGGGGTTCTATCCTATGTTTCTCCTGTTCAGTCTTCCCCTTTTTCAATTTATTTGCGTGTCACTCAATTAGGGGGATGCCCCCGTCTCGTGGCACCTCATCTATTCCACTGGTTTTCGGACAAGATTTAAAGAACTTTGCGTGATGATATAGCCCTGGGGAAAAGTTGGTGTAGATCAATGTAGTCGCGGGCAGTAATAAGGTTTATATTCGATATACGATTGAGCAAATTGCAGTTAAAACAGAGATTTCAAACACGAGCCAATACTATTTTTGTTTGTATACTAGATCAAATTCATGAAAATAAGTGGCTTTTAACGTCTTTGCGTCATAGCTAGGCGAAAGCGTACACAAGTCATATACATGTACCTTCAATGCTTGTTATTAGTCACAATTGAGAAATACTATTTTTGTTTAAACTACATGTACACATTTTACATGCATGATATCGGTGAGAGTACATCATTCTAGTTTGTTTAATTGGACATACATGTAATGAAGGTTAGAAATTAAAAAATTACTGTTTGAACTTCACTTATAATTAAACCCTATCCTGTTAAACGCCTTAGTATGAAAACAGTACCTTGTCGCTTCTGGTTGTGGATATATAGAGACCTACTTTGGTTATGCATTTACATAAACAATATTAATAGAAAGACCCATAAGCCTTTGTACCCATATTCATAACAGTGGTATTTTGTCACATTGGTATTTAATACTGAAAGTCATTTAAAATGATATCTCAGTGTCAAGTGCCATTTGCCATTTCACAGTTTAACAAAAACGAACATTATGTGAGTGATAATGTTTTCAACATTTCGAAAGTTTTTTTGAAGCGCAGTTGAAGGTTATCAAATCTAATGTGCGTTCTAAAACTCTCTAATTCTATTCCTCTTTATTAATAGTGGAGAGGGAATTAATCTGTTACTATTAATTTAACATTATAGTTCTATTTTCTATCTTTGTTTAATTGGTATTCTATTTGCTTTCATCGTATTTATAGAGTCATCATGCATCGCAAAACGCGGCTGAAGATAACGGATCTTAATAAACACCTGACATGTTCACTGTGCAAAGGATATATCGTGGATGCTACAAGCATCATCGAATGTTTACATTCATGTGAGTATATAGTTCTCGTCTCTCTGAATTTGAATGATCCCCCAAATCGATAAAAAAAAGAAATAATAATGGAAGCAAACGAAATAAACCAACGAATCAACGAACTAGCTAACTATATATCTAACTAAGTAACTAAGTAACTAACTTCAATACCTCTTTCTTGGTCTTAGTTATAACGCATCGTTTCTTTTCTTTTCGACTTTTTCTCCGTATGTTAATTTTTCTTCGGCAAATCTTTACACCCCCTTTCTCTCTCTCTCTCTCTCTCTCTCTCCCCTCTCTCTCTCTCTCTCTCTCTCTCTCTCACTCTCTCCCTCCCTCACGTTCCCCTTTCTTTTGATCTCTATGTCACTTTCATTCCAATCTCTCTATAATTTTCTTTCTTTTTTAATACATAAAGCTCTCTCTGTCTCTCTACAGAGAGAGTGTGAAGAGTCTAATTTTCATGCCCCAAATAAAACGTAGGCTACATCGTACTAAATTTAAATAGTGAGATGACAATGTAAATAATGTGATTCAATATTGGCTATTAAAGGGCGTCGGCTTATCTTCATATTTTTCTTTTGTTTTGAATGCAGTTTGTCGGAGTTGCATCGTTCGATATCTGCACACCAGTAAGCAATGCCCGGTATGCGACACACAGGTTCACAAGACTAGACCTCTACTAAATATCAGGTAACACAATGTTTGTGTTTTCATATTCTGCTAGCACCATGCAGTTGATCGTTATCCGAAGAATAACCCAAAGAAAGAAAGAACCATAAAGATAATTTATTTGGTGGATCCGAGAGGGTCGGATCTGAGAGGGTGCATGGGGGCGCGTGCCTCCTTTCAAACCCAAATTTGTCATACTTTTGTGTTCTTTTATCTCAGCCAAATATGGGATTAAAACGAACCTGAAAAGGAAGAATCCTTCCTCTCCTTGCCTGAATTTTCTTTAATGTAATTGTCCTTGAGAATCCCGATCTACCGCAGTATATGGTATACTCGGAATGAATACAGTGATTGATCAAGTTGCTTGTTCCTATGACACTTCAGTTATCATTGATTTTATTTTTATTTTTAGTGAGTCATGCAAAATTATATTTCATTATTTTGTTTGTCAACGCATCAATGTTGGCCACTTTCGACACAACGTATGTTCAATCAAGAGCAGAAATTTTTCATGTGGGGGCTTAAAATAACTACATGAAGATTTGTATTTGTATACTATTATTGATTGGATTCTGTAATTCTCCCCAAAGAAAGATTTACCATTTTCACTGAAATTTTATAGATGTTGACATTTTTTTGGGTCATGAGACTCGAGATAAAGTTCTTTAGAACATCCGCAATAATTATGCTGACATTCGATATTTACTTATCTTTTCTTTGTTTTCGTACTCCTTATTTTGGTTTTCTCTCTTCCCTCGTTTCTTTCTGTTTCATAGTAAAGTACCTTTAGTTACTTTCTTCGAGATGAATTTTATTTGCAGTATTTAAACTTACTTATTTATATATTTTGTTTTGTTATACTAACAGATCTGACAAAACTTTGCAGAATCTAGTGTACAAACTGGTTCCAAGCATGTTTAAAGGTAAATGAAAACATTTTTGTTGTTGAAAGTAATAGTATATACATGTATATACAGCTCGTATAGAGTGCCCACGGAATTATGGAGAAAAAATATGAAATAGTCCATTTGGTTTCAAATCAGCTTTTGTCAGAGTCGGTTAAAAGGTGGAGATAGAGCTAACCACAATGCCACCTCATGTAGGTTTTATCCAATTCGCATACGATTTAGGGAAGCAGCACATTCTAAATTACTTACTGCCCCAAAAGATATTTATGAAAATAATCTCTTCTTGGAACCAAACTAAACGCTCTCGAAATTTAGTAGGCCATGTTCAGAAAAATTCAGATTGGAATGAAATCCCAGCGTGCGAGATTTGTATGCACTTATCAAATCCACTGTATCCGATATAAGCGAACCGAAACGCATTGTAGACAGTTATGCCCCTTGCACGCAAAGCGTCATTTTGGTGACGTAGGAATGCGTCACTGACTAGCGTGATCTGTTACTATTATGTGACATTACATTTGTAAACAAAGTGAATGCAAAATACAAATTTATGTGAATTACTACAAGATTACTGGCTTCACAGACATGATTTACACACTAATAGCGCAATAAAAACAACGCCTTGTGCCTCGTGTAAGACGGTCATTATATTCCCCGTTGCACATGCATCGTCATTTCCACTTCATCATTACTCATGCTAGGCAAACCAATAAAGGCAATTTAGGTAATCCTTAAAGATGCAATATAGTAAGTGCTCGGTTCGTTTTATATGAACTTAGTGTATGATAGCCCTCTCATGGTGTGTCTAAGACCTTGGTAGTCCCTGACGTAGTTGTACGACAGAAGCGGCATTCCTCTTTGACATTCTATTTGTAAAATGTAATATAGACAATTTAGGTGTTAAACCTTAAATTTGCATCAGATAACACAACAGTAGAAAATATGAATGTTTTTCTTGCTTTATATTTTCCTTCTTTCTATCTACAGGAGAAATGAAAAGGAGAAGAGAGTTTTACAAGTCACATCCACAAGCCAGTAAGTTAATCATTCGACCCTTTCTTTCTTACATGACATTTTTCCTCCGAAGTTCGACGGAATAAGTAACCAGAAATTGTAAGTAAAGTACCAATGGACAGTAAACAGCCGATTGAGAAGTGCATGAATAGGCAAGTTCAAGGTACTTTATCCGGTACGTTACCAACGATATTAAAAAAAGTAGTTTATCTGATGATTGTATTAAGTTCAGAGACATACCATCAGCTTTGATCAAATACATAATAGTGATACATTCGTATTTCGTATTTGTAACAAATGACCATATACATTTCACTCGCCCATTACTAAGGCGGTACCTGATTGAAAGTTTGAAGAGTTAACATTTTTGTTAACAACCAAACTGAACGAACTTGTGTTTTGCAGTCATCTTTGCAATGAATAACATAATTAAATGAGACAGAAAGCTTAGTTGTGATTCTTATGAGCAACATTATCATTTTCACCATGTATATTTGACTTTAGGTACTAGCCTCGCACAGACCGTATCCAGAGAAGAACGCGGAGAGATGGACGAACAAGAGCTCATTATTTACACCGACGATGAACACCTTAGCCTCTCGCTCGAGTACTATCAGCAGAGCATTCACATACCCAAACCTAAACCAGCCGCCGCCGCCATAACGCGTCCCGTCGGTAACGGGGACAACGCGTCAACCAGCAGTAGCAGCGGTAACAGCAGCTGCAGCGATACGAGCAGTGAGAGCGGCGGGAGTAATGTAGACGTCGCTACTGGGAGCGCCGCTGATGGGAGCACCGCTACTGGCAGCGCCGCTGGTGTGAGCACCGCTGTTGGGAGCGCACCCGGTAGCAGTGGAGGAAATACCGCAGCGGCACCGCCGATCGGAGATACACGAGCCGTGGTGAGCGCGGCGGTCACGGCGGCACTGAAGGCTGCGGTTAGTGGTGCGAAGCAGGGGGGCAACGCTAAGGTACCGGAAGAGAAGCGGGGAGTTCAAACAGATGCAGCTGAAATGTTGGCACAGGAGCGATTAAAAGGAAAGCCGAACGGAGCGACGACGTTGAAAAGTAGCTGCGGTCCGATAAATGGCAAGACGAAAGCGAACGGTGACGCTAACGGTCTCTCTGATGAGGTAAGCCATAAAAGTCTTTCACAACATCGAACTTTTAATACTTTCAAGTTGAAGGCTGAATGGAAAGGATAGGGCCTAAAAAGACAAGATGTTGTATTGCCCTTTAGGTGCCAAAACATCGGTAGGCCGGTCGGAAATCTTTTTTTTGGGGGGGGGGGGGAGGTCTCTCTTTTGGCTGATATTTCTCAGTTTCGAATGCTTTAATGCATATTTTTTGGGGGTAAAACGTTAACAAAAACAAAAAAACTTTAAAAAGCTGACCTTAGATTTCAAGATTTTGGGGTCTGTCGTAAAGGGCAATACAACATCTTTTTTTTTAAGGCATAGTAGGTAGCGTCAGATATGAACATTTCAAAAGATCAAATTCTTAAAGCCCCAGTCAAATAATACAGGGTCACGCTACTGATCACTACTGAGGAGGTGTTAACGGTGTTGTCATGCTCAATTCGGATACATCCGTTCTTCCATCCGTTTAGATCCGGGCTCCTCTAAGGACGTCCATAGCATTCCAGCAAACCGCCTTGGATGTTTTTGATTGTTCAAAAAACCTCTTTATTACAAAATAATTATAATAACTGAAGAAGAATTAAAATGCACTGTGCCACATGTCATGGTATTGCCGTATTGATAAGATTAATCGTCCCTTCGTTGGATATTGATTACATATTGTTTCGAGTATAAAAAATTGGTTTTGTTTCCGTATCACTAAATGAAATACAAACTGAAAATACAATTGTTCATATTTTTTATCACAGATTGTTGATAAACGGTATTTGAGATGTCCTGCAGCTGTTTCCATTGGTCACATCAAAAAGTTTATCCGACACAAGTTTGGATTATCACTAGCCTACCAGGTTTGTCCGCCCTCTTTGTCATTTCGACATTTCCATTCTATTCTCGTCTATATGTACTTCATTGTTCATCTCCTCTTTGCAGGGATATACTCTGCTGCTGTCTTTGGTCGGTTCCATACCGTTGTAAAATATTACCCTTTTTTTTTACTCTGGGAAAATGTCCCCTTGGGCTATCACCCCAGAAAAAACAGCGATTGGAAAACTACCTACAACGACAATTGCACATGGAGTGCTACTGCAGAAAATTTCACCTAATTTGTAGGGGTTGTTTTAATACCGAGATATTTGTTCTTCCGGTAGTTGTCCGGGGATTTTGTACTTTTTGTTGTTGTACAGGCGTTGTTCTGGATGTTAGTCCGGGATAGTCTCCCTGATAAGAATTTACTTTTTGGAAAATCACACAATATATGAAATTAAACGTTAGACTAATTATGTCATGAACATGTTGTTCACAGTGATAACAGAGATTATTTTTGTCAAAGGAATCGATCTAACCAGTTTAGAATTTTGAAGGAAAAACAAAGATCTAAGGAGCACACGATGTTATAATAATCTTGATTCTGGAGTATATTCTAATTGCGTTTTTTTTTCATAAGGCATTCGTTCTATACTTCACACTTTCCCGTCATGTATGCTCATAATCTAGATGATGAGAGATAAATTCACGTGCATCAGTGAATACTTCATTCAATCCACCAACCTTCTCCGAAATGACATTTGACTCTTCACGTTCCACGCGCAACATATCGAGTTACACAAACGGAAATTTAGTATCAAGTTCATTCACATCCCTTTCATGAAATATAATAAGGTCGGGGAGCTATATATTTACTTCGTGCCCCAGACACAACGAGGAGATTGACACCAGTCCGGTCCTTTTAGGATGATTCAAAAGCTTATCCAGTACCCCCTTCTTATAACAGCCACAAATGAGTAAAAAAATCTGTACCAAAGAAATAGGAGGTTGTAAGTTTGCAAACATGCGAGTCGGATCCGGATCAATCGCAACCCTTTCATAAGACATGGCTCCGGAATGCTTGAAAATAGCAAAAATCTACTGTTCTTTCAAAATACAAAGAGGATATAACTGTACGTAGTTAAAAAGGCGGCGGCCTATTTTTCTCCCTTCTGGTAATCCTGCCATGATATATAATTGACTATTTATTGACGATGTGATGAAGTTTGTTTAAGTTTTATTTATTCCAACTTGATTTCCAGATTGAAGTGATGTACAGAGGTAGTGAGGATGAACTTCTACCAGACGACTACACATTAATGGATGTAGCTTACATTTATACATGGGGTCGGGTAAGTGTCGTGTCAAGTTCTAATGCAATAGACATACTGTTCAATGATGTTCAGAGCGTATTGTTAATCAGGTGTCTGTTACCTTTTTGGTCCTAACACCCAACCTGATGACATTTCTTTGTACAGTTACCTCCAAAATACAAGTCTCGGTCAATGTCATTACAATTACCCCTTGTACCCAGCCGGATATGGATCAAAATGGGGATGTTTATTACCTCCCATACAATAATGCTTCAATTTAAAGAACGACACAGTTACCACCATTGGGTCTCACTCGGTTCAGAACAATTTACTTAAACAAAGGAGCTAAAGCTTGAAATGTACAATGTTATATTCATAGATGGCTGTACTGAAATTTGCAGTTGAAATACCATGTGGATAACTTATAGTCACTTTACACAGGTTATTTGCTACCCTTACAACTTCTGGCAAAATTATTTATTTATAAGACTAAAAGTCATTCCTTCTGAATAGTTTACATTCAAAAGTTACAGGAGTATTATGTAGTTTCCGCCTTATCGTTCGCGAGGCTTTTTAGACGTTGACATCCTTGTTAAAATTGAAATCTACAGAACAGCTTTGTTTTGTCTGGCATCGACTCGCATGTTTGGGTTTAGAAAGTAATTTATCCGTGTTTGTTGGCACAATTCCTAAATCAGACCTTACTTTCTGAAGAAGAAAAAAAAAGGTGTCGAATGCGGGAGAGAGAGTTCGAGAGTTTAGAAAACATACCCCACATACCAACCTTGCACCCAACAAAGCACATTACTTGGAAGTAGACTTTTTGTCGAGATAAAAACTACCTATACCGAATACAACATTCTAGTTCGGCCATTTAATTTCGACACATAGACATAAAAATGATCGGATGGGAAAGGTATAATGGAAACAGTTCTTAAGTAAACATTATCAAGAGTCTTTTGAAATCATAAGTTTCGATTTTAGGATATTATTGTTGCATACTGGAGGTCATTGACGATGTAAGCTCTCTCTGGGTATTTTCGTAAAGTAACACCAATCACTCTTAAATATTAGTTGTAAAAACTTGCCCAACATGAGGGCGACTATGTGTTCAACAAAATTTAGAAAAACTTTATGTCCGACTTGGGAATTGTTTTAGCCAATCACGATCATTGTTCAGCATAAATTGAGGAAACACATCTCTGGGTTGGCCATGATAGTACTCAAAGATCCGTCGTACACAAAATTACCCTCAGTTTTTCCAGTGAATAAATACTTTAATACACTACTACTACACTGTTCAACCGGAACAGATTTTAACATTGTCACATCTGCAGTAACGAAAGTTTTAAAGGGAAGCCACATCCTGAATCTGTGGTTGTAGTCCAAAACGTCATTTGGTTTGGACAGCAACTCGTATCACGGATCATCAATATAATCAGACCATGTGAAAACTTAAAAAAACAGGACCTCCAAAAAGCTTATTTGGATCCAGTCATCGAGGAAGTAGTGGATTGTTGTAACTCCTTTTTTTATGTCGGGTTGTCCGTACGTACGTCCCGTTCTCGTGATCGCGTTTTCTTAAGAACCTATTGATGGATTCCTGCCAAACTTATATCATGTATGTATCTTGCAGAGCCGATGAACTGATTAGATTTTGGGGTCATAAGGTCAAAGGTCACAGAGCTCATTATGTATGCAAAAATAGCTTATGATCGCATTGTCATTAGAACAGATTGATGGATTCCTGCCAAATTTAGGTCATGTATGTACCTTGCATGGCCAATGAAGTGAGTAGATTCTGGTGTCATGAGGTCAAAGGTCAAAGGTCATGGGGCGCATTATGTATTCAAGAATAGCTTGCGAATGCATTCTTATTAGAACTGACAGATTGATTACTATCAAATTCAGGACATGTATGTATCTTGCAGAGCCAATGAACTGATTAGGTGTTTAGGGTCATGAGGTCAAAGATCAAAGGGTCATACATGTATATGAAACAAAGCTTGTAATCACGATATTCTTAGAACCTGTTAATGGTTTATAATCGAAGTTGAATTTTAAAAATTGCTTCTGTTTTGGTTGGTAAAATCGCTTTATGGCGGAGGCATCATAATGGATTGCGCGCAGTCGAAGGTTCATCTAGTTTTTATTTACAGAAAGAGTCTTTTACTTAAACGTCCGTTTTTTGTTGTTGATTTATAAAAAAAAAACAGAATGGCGCTCAAAGTCTTTTTATTTAGAACCCACAGGTAATCACTGTAAATTAATATGAATGTTGTGTAAGAGTAGGAACAAAATGGCGTTTAAATATCTAGTTTTAACTCGTCTATAAAGGGCCTTTAGGGGAGGGGATACCGGACTTACCAGTCTGATGAATGATGAGAGAGGGGAGAGCAAATCAATCCAGTGGGTGGAGGATAGGGTAGAGTTGGTATCAACTTCTTTCACATCCCCCCTCTACCTTCTCTTTATATCTTCCTTCTCTCCTTTTTTTACAATTTGAGAAGGGGCACATACCCTACCCCTGTAGCTACGCCATTGCCTCCAATAAAATAATATATTTTTCTCTCATGATTTCCATCCAAACAGGTCGGACCTTTGCCACTTGTTTATCGAGTCTACCAGCCGCTTTCCAGACCACTGAAAAGAACTCTCACGGACAAAAACACATCGGTTGTCCCGGAGAAAATACCAAAGAAAACGGACTCTTCTCCACACCAGCAGAAAATACCGCCAGCAGCTGGAGCGAAACCGAAAGACGCTTCGCTGAACCAGGGATCGCAGGAGAACACATCACCCGCAATGACGCCGGTTGTGCCGCCGGGTGCAGCAAAGTCGAATATTGCGTTGAGCATACCTACAATGCCCGTGTCTGTTGTTACATTGAACAGGTCATAGCAAAGAATTCTATCATCTCCCACACCTCTGGTCATTGGTGCACGTCCGACAGCTGTGTGATCTCCCAGTCGCATTACCAAGGAGTTCTCACTGCGATCAACGTTACAAGAACGCCATCAGTAAAATTCGCACGGTGTTCTCTCGGAGACTGTATGCGAGTATTTTGTGCATGTTCTCAAAAGGATGTAAAATAAAGACTATTAAGTTCATCCGGTGACCCGACTGCGGCGTCGTTTGCGTTTCGTTTTGACCACCTTCTGAGGTCGCCGAATAGACTTCATGCCATTACACTCATAAACAAGAGGGTATTTGGTTACCGATCACGCGTCGAACATTATTGTGATCTAAGATTTATTTTAAATTTGAAGAGACGGTTGCGACTTTCGTTTGATGTCTAGCTTGTCTCAACTTGTTTCTCACCAGGCTTGGACATGCTTCTTCCAGGATGCAAGTATCCACTTCGGAATGCAGCGTGTTTAATTGCTGGGTATACCCCGGTCACACCGACGAGACCGACATCAGATGGCACCAGATCGAACTAAATGGTACATCATCTTGAATGGTCAAGAATCGGTTAGAGAACGGTTTGGAGTCGGTTTTTTGCGGTGTGACCGAGGTATTATGATCTGAGCATAGTTTCAAGCAAACCGAACTTCGAGCCGTTTCGAAAGATCATCTTTGACCTGAGCAGTACGGAGTGATTTATAGATTGACCTGTATATCTTGACTATTTCGGTACAACAAGAAGACAGTAAGCTATTGCTTGTTAGCTGATGAGGAAGGGTGGAGGATGGACCCATGGTTTCTGTACAAAATAATTTTCTGTCGGGTCCTAAGGCCTCCATTAAGTGCAGTAAAGACAGGATCACAATCGAACTGTTCCAACGAGGAACTGTTCCAATGTCTTGAAAGTGTGTGTTTTGTGTTTTTGTGAGTGTGTAATATCCAGGACCGTCTAAAGGAAAAGACTTTGTTTGTTCTTTGTTTTTCACTCATGGGGAGTGGTTTTTAACACTGGATGTCATTTTGGTTCAGCTTTTGGTCATGATATCTTAACCCTATTCTGACTGGGCTTTCTAAAGGCAAGCTTTAAAATCTTTGCCACGGAATATCCAATCGAATCGAAGCGACTTTTGCGCGGATATTGACACGCATATAAAGAGTACCGCTCACATGATCCTCCCCCCCCCCCCCCCCCCACCAAGTCAGAATAGGGTAGAAATGATGTCCATGGTGACGATATAGACATTGCATTGCATATTACATCGTATCTTTATCGGATAAATTTTGATCTTTTTTTTTATTCCATTTAAGCGAGTCGTAATATTTATGACCGGATTTTGTTCTCTGTACTTGTTTTCCCGCATTTCAGCGCCTGCTCATTCACCAGACGTTCTCACTTTTGAGTATCTTTATCAAATGTCTTTTTTTTTTGTAATCGAGATATTCATAAAAACGATGCCCCTTTCCCCGGTATTATGGATCCCTCATTGTTACAGAGTGGACGCAATGGAAGAGAATTTAAAGGCAACAAGTTGATGTCGCACTAAAATATATGTTCTCCTTTGAATTTTGATGGAATAAGAGTGCATCGGAAATGTTGATTTCTGACTTGAGGGATTATCCATCTTCTAATAAAATAACCGTTATCATATTACAGATAAAGCACAGCGGTTATGAAGAATGATTACTTATTAAAAACCTGTTCAAAATGATAACAGATTATTTTCGTTTACCCCTAAATTTCTATGATATATGATCAATGATCTATTAATCAAAAATGTTGATTGACTTAATGCAATCTAATATGAAGGAAAAAATAATATTTTTCATCCCTCTGTATTTCCTCAAGCATAGAGCACAGTGCTTCTGAAGTATTCTGAGAGATTATAACAGATCGTTTCAAAATAAATGAAATGTCTTTTCAAAATAAATAAAATATCCTTATTTCATGAAATTAGTAATTTGAATTGATATAGCTGTTATCGTGTTAATTCATTCGTATCATCGCTTTTTTAAATCCCAGCATATGGGTTGATCTTCGAGATTTAAGTCTTTTCAAAATGTTTGAAACAAGTATCGTTTCCTCTTTAATTTCTATAAAATTTGAGTTAAGTTTGGAGAAAAAAAAATCTTTATCTCTGTTAAATCCAAGAAGAAATACAATGGACGTAAAGTATTTTTTAAGAAAAATGTGTTAACGAAATGGTTAAAGACTATTGTCGTGTCTGTTTTTAATATTTTATCGATGAATGGACATTTTATCTGAATTTATAGATTTAAAAAGCGGTTGTTTTAATGCATATTTTCTCTCTGTTTTTCACTCGAACATTAACCACAGTGGTGTTGAGGTATTTTTTGAGAATAATATTAAAATGTGTTTAAAATTGTTAAAGAATATAGTTTTGTCCTCTTGATTTCTCTATGAAGTGAGAAGTGATCAGAAATGTTAAATTTTTAACTTGATCCAATAGTTCCTGTAAATTCATACCTTTCCTCTGTTTTAATCAATATGAAGCACAGTGGTTAATTTAGACGTTTCTTTTTTAGAATGAGTATAGATGTGTCCTCTGAAGTTTTCTATGAAAGGTGAAATTATCAGAAATATTGAATCTTTATGTAATGCAGGATTGAAAAGCGTTATCCTTAGTTCTATTAAAGTTATTATTCCATGTTTTAATCATCATGAACCATTGCCACAGTCGTTTGTGAAAATATGAAATATTCTTTGAGAATAAAAACCTGTTCAAAACTGTTACAGAGTATGTTGTGTTATAAATGCATTTTGTACGTTGAGGCGTGCGTGTAGTTAAGATTAAAACAGACATGGTACTTCGGATACTCTTCACAAGATTGCAAAGCATTTTGAAAAATAATTCGCAGTTGGGTGAGATGGTCTAAAAATTCATATGCGAGCGAGCGAAGAGAAAATGTACATGTTATAAAAAGGGGAGGGGAAACAATCCTGATGGGGTCATAAGCACATTCTCGTAACGGAAGACTAAACGACCTTTGATAAATAATAACATTATATAATATATAAATGCGAGCGAGCGTAAATTGCTCTCAATCGCTTGAAATAAGGGGCGCGTTTAATGATGAGAGGGAAAAGGGACACTTTTCGAAAGAGATAAAAACACTTATTAGAAAAAGGGGCACGTGTCAAAGTACAAAGGGTAATTATCAGAGGTGAAAATTGGTCACTTCTTACATCTTCAAAAAGAGGCACTCACCATGGGATGAAAAAGGGTGAATGGGAAATGGACATTTGCCGACGGAAAAGGGTCACCCATCATATTTTGATAGGGGCATTTATGAAAATGGGTTAGGTCCCTTATTAGAAAAGAAATGGGGCACATGATGTTGTTGATGAGTTTAGAATAAATCGGAAGCGAAGTTCAGAACGTAACAATATATATCTTACGTATTTTTACAATTTGTGACCAAAACAAATTTCCATGTATTCTTGTGAATTTGGATGAATAAAAAGAATTGAATTGAATTGAGTTGAATTATTAAAAGGGAAATTATCAGAGGTGTAAATGGGCACTTATGAAAATGAATAAGGGGCACTTATAATAAAGGAAAATGTGCTTTAGTTGAAAGAAAGGCGTACCAACTAGATTTTAATAGGGGCATTTATCGGAGGTAAAAGAGGGCTTTTATGAAAAGGGAGAAGTGGCTCTTATCAAAAAGAATAAAGGGGGCACATGTTAAGATAAACTGGGCATTTATAAGAAATGAAAACTTAGGGGTAATTATGAAAGGGGAATGGACACTTATAAGAATTAGGAAAAAGAGCATTTATTAGATAGGAAAAAGGGCACATGTCAAAATAAAAGGAGCAGTTATTAGAAGTGAAAAGGGATACACATCAGAGATGAAAAGAGCACTTTTCAGGAGGGGGATGTAAAGTTAAACGATGTCTCTGATGTGAATAAGAGCAATTATCGGAGCTGAAGGGGGCACTCATCTAAAGTGAAAAGGCATAACTTCTCGTATCTGAAATAAATTATTTACCAAAGATGAAAAGAGGCATTTGTGAGAAGTAGAAGGGGCTCTCTTTATGGGGGCACGTATCATTAGGACAAGGGGCACTTGTTAGAAAGGAGAAAGGGCACATGTGAAAATGTAAGGTGCGCTTATCCGAGTTAAAAAAAGGGTAGGCCTGGTTATTAAAAGGGGAAGGGGCACTTATTACAAAGAAAAAGGGACACTGTCTTGTCAAAGTATAAGGGACACCTCTCTGATTTGAATAGGGCAATTATCAGAGGTGATGGGGGCACTTGTCAAAAGTGACAAGGGGCACTTCTCGTACCTGTAAAGGGCCACTTACTAGAGATTAAAAAGGGCACTTATGAGAATGAAAAATGGACAATTACTGCAAAGGAAAGTGGAAACTTGTTGAAGGGAAAGGGGCACGTGTCAAAATTAAAGAGCACTTCTTACAAAGTTAAAGAGGCACTTTTCGTATGTAAAAAGGGGCACCTTTTGGGTAATTGAAACAGTGGGGGCACTGTGCCCCCCTGTCCCCGTCTCTGGATAATGAATTAATCATATTTGTATGATGCTTAATACTACATGTATGTTTCTAAGCGCTTTACATTGTAATTATCGTTACTCCGGTCATTGGGTACACTCATCGACACATGATAGTGTACATGTCCCGCTCCACGGGGAGTATCCCGACCATGGAGAAGCGAAGGGGAAAGGGGAGTAGCTGGTGATGATGATAAGGGATAGATTGATTAGGTGGGTGGTGAGTATCATTGTGATGATGAGGAGGAGGAGGAGGATAATCAGAAGCGGTCCTGGAGCTTCGGGGGGGGGGGGGGGGGGGGAGGGGGAGGGCTCAAGCCACCTGTTCCAAACAAATTTGAGAGGCACATGTAAAAAAAAAAAAAAAAGAACCCACCTCACCCTCTCCCCTCCCCCCTTTGATGCCTGATGGTGATGTTGATTTTATATGGAGGAGGAGGAGAAAAAAGGGAAACCAAAGATTGTGAGGAAATTTTGTGAAATTGTGCCTCTTAAAACGATTGAATTATTAATCAATCAGTTCCTAGTAAACAATATCAAAAGGATAAGATGACAAAAAATAGGGGATGATGGTGGTGGTTTAGTGTGCCTACACGGATACAGTAGTATACATGTACAATAGGATGGAGCCGGCCTACCAGGCTTCTCTATCCCCCCCCCCCCCCCCCCCCCCCCCCCCCCAGCTAGGCCCCTCCCTCACTTTGAAAATCGTCCGCGGGGCCTGCATGTAGCACGTAAGAGTGGTGGCTATGCCGATTTTTTTTTCTACCCCAAGAAACGTTTTTGCTTATTACGCTACTGATTACACACATCAAAAATCACTCAAGCATATTTTTTTCTCACATAACTCACTGAATACAACTACACTATCTACTGTTTCAAAGACACCATACTTTTTTTCTCCAAAGATTGGTCTCCAACTTCAATTATCAGAGTAGGCGTTTTTTTTGCAGTTCAAGCACTAAAATGGAAATTTCTGCAGAGATTCAAGAAGGTTTGCAGTTAGCTGGGAGCTCTGCTAGAGTACAAGATAAAGCCTTTGAGCCATTATTGCAGAAAATATTCTCAGACGTGTCGGAACCTGGTAGAAATGAAGATGGTGGTGAGTCTAGGTCATTATTTTAATATACAATTACAAGTCCCATACGTTGAAATCTATGCTGGATAACGATGATGTAAGAAGAATCATGAACACGACGCGATGCGCGATGCGATGTGGATAAAATTGAAAAATGATGAATGATGAACAAAATATAATAAGAAGATGATAATGGTGATGATAGTAATGATGAACATGAGGAGGAGGAGGTCTAACATTAAGGAGGTAAGAATAGATGAAAAGAGTGGGCAGAAATAAATGGAGAGGTGAAGAAATAAAGTTTATTAAAGTCAAGAGAAAAAGCACTCTAGCAAAGCATAGTAGGGTCTAGACCTAGTCGATGCTAACACGTATTGACCTCTAGCGCTGTATACGTGCTGAGAGGCATCAATTTTGTACACACTTGAACAAAACAAGTGGGAGTAAATGGACATTATTGTTGACTTGTTGTACTGTAGTAGGGTCTACTTACTTTTGTAGTTTTGAATGCGATGCTCCAAATTTAAAATGATGATTTTGTATGGTCAACACCATTGCGCTCCCTGCATAACCATAAGTGAGCCCTCTCTAACTTGAAGTCAAAACTGCTCGAGCAAATCAGCCAATCATTAGCTCAAAGTACAGCGCTCAGTACGTAAATTTCTACGTGCTTGTGTTACTCCTCATCCTCTTATTAATATTAATGAGATCCTGTGCTTTTATTAATTTTAACATTATCATCATCATTATCGTTATTACCATAACATCATCTGTTTTGCTCTTGTGCAATTTAATACTTAGGCTCTGATTGAGAAGTTTTTCAAATTTCTTACTAGTTTTTATTTGTATTTAAAACGATATTACCGGTAATGTACATGTATTTACCACTCCCATCCAAGTCCAATACAGTGTAAATTGTACCTAGACAAAATTATTCCTTGAATGCTCCAAGTTAAAGCACATTATGGCAGCTGGACTAAAGACAAGGTAATGATAGTACTTAGTAATGCACCTTGAGCATCCCCTGGGATGAATACCATATGTGCTTAATATTAATATAGTTACAAAAAACATGTCTCATTATTTTTTTTTTAATTATCAGAATAGCAAATTATCATTCATTTTAGATGGAGCAGTGTCAGCTATCGAACCAGCAGTATTGAAGGAAAGCTATGCCTCCCTGTATACACTGGTGTTAGAAGCAGCTAAACATGATGCAGACAACAGTTCCATCAGGTGGGTTAAAATGATTGCAGGTGTACTATTCGTCTATTCAGTGAAAGTTATTATTCCCCTCCCCCCCCCCCTTTTTTGGGGGGGGGGGGGAGAGTGCATAAGTCTCATCACAGTGATCAAGTTGATGGAATGCAAGGAAGCAAAGTGACTGAGAGGAGTGGGGAGGAGGCTCTTTCCCTTTCTTTCACTCCCTCCTCCCTTCGCCAAACCAACATCATTCAAGGGTGTCAAACTATCTTTAGAAGTATTAACTCCACAGTTTTCTCTTATTGAAGGTGTCATGGCATATTTCTTCTTTGAATTCTTATGTACACATGTAGAATCAGATGTTTGTTACAGTTTTTATAAATTGTGCTTATACAGAAAATAACAGAATTGAAATTAGAAATCATAAAATAGTGCACTATTTGCACGATTGAAATTTATCAAATTATTAAAGAAAGGTTAAGAATTTAAGAGGTAGCTATTGAATTTCGAAGTATTAACTATTGCTGAGTTGCATAACTACGAATGTTATGATACATGAAGCAATTGTTATTTGCAATGCTGATTACAAGTTGTTTATTTGCAAAGCTGTTGATTATAATTGTATTCTAGTCTCAGGGTTCCCGATGCTCACTTTTCTCAAGATTTAACTCAAAATCCCATTTCCCCAAAGTGTAGACATTCCTGGTGTTCATAGACTTACATGTGTACTTAATGGGACTTTACTCTAGATCTCCAGGAAAGAATGGTATTGCAATTTTATATTATCAAATACTTTCGAATAGGACCTACAAATGCAATGGAACCAGGCGGTTGTACTTGCACTCATATGTATCAATATAGTTCTCAATCAAATATATTTTTTAAACCTCATTTTCCACATTGAATTGTTAGCTCCTTCTTAGAAGACAATAAGTTCAGTCAGGATAGGATCGATGCCTTCCTCAAGCATTTCCAGGAGAAGAAGCAAGAGATAAGATCCATGCTGAGCAACATCGGTCACACTCCTCCTCATATTGTTGATGTCGATTGGCGGTTAGACTTCTATCTAAAGGTATGTATTGAATGCTCCAACACTTTCTCCAGTGAGAATGGTTTTTGCTTTTATTTTGTTAAAGATATAATGCTTGGTTTGGGGTAATGTAAACAATATGCATTATTCAAGGACATGTACTGGTTTTGTGTCATGAATTGGGCCCATGACCTTTGCATCTCAAGTCAAACGATCCAGCCATTCAACTTTGACTCCTATCAAGAGCACAACTCAAAGAGAGAATTGTTCTCTCTTTTCTCATGACAGCAAGTATTATAAATAAATGCCATTATTGACCATCTGTGTGCATTCACAGAGCTGTGAGCTAGTGTCAGCCTAGTTTCATCTTGCTAGCATCAATATGTATACCATAGCCTGTCCAGTTACCTCTCCACTGAGCCAAGTGGCTTATTAGACACAAGGGCTGTCTTCCATCACCCAAGTTTCTCTGGTGCGCAATGAAGGCATGCAACTATCTTGCCTATGACAGCATACACACTGCAAGGAACATGTGCATAAAATATGGTACACTGTCGATCGTGCAATGAACAGAGATACACATAGGATGTCACTATGCAGCAGTGAGCATTGTGCTTATTTAGGTGTGCATCATTATTTAAAAATCATTAAGTTCCTATTCAGAACAGTCAGAAAGAATTACCTGAGCAAATTTCTTGCGGAAATTAATATTTATGAAAAAGTTATCGATGCTTGAACTTAGCCATGCAGCCCTACCATTATCAAAACAATAAACAACAAGTTGCATGATTTTTCAAAGGCAGTAACTGGATATGTTCCCCTAGAGATGATAAGTTTAGCATGACGAAATTGATCAAGATCTTTCTTGAGTTTCATAACTGCATGTGAGTGAAATTAGGGCGGAAAAGAGCAGGAAAAATGCATGATCTGATTTCTGAGAAAAACTTTCAATTATTTGAAATTTCTGAGTAGAAATGTAAGGGGTTAAATTATTTGTATCTCAAAGTGCTCAAGATTTCATATTAGATCATACAGGCAAAATGTTTTTCATTATATGATAGGAGTATTGCACTCAAAAGCATTTACTAATCGATTATATTTCTGTTCTCCATAATAATTTGGATAACGAAGCACATGTACTCCACAAGATTTCTTAGAATTTGATAATTAATTCTATCTTTGAATCATGTTGATTATCACAAATTACTGTCACTCAATCATCAAGTAGGCAGTTTTTATGTAGTAAGAAAAGAAGATTGTTACTGTCCTTTCTTGGGTCTTATTCTCAGAACAAGCACATCGATAAGATCAATCAGCCGACCTATCTGATAAACCTCAAGACAGAGCAGGGTCATCGAGGTGCCAAAGATATACAGTTTAGCTGTTCGCTTGAACAGTTACAGGTGAGTTGAGTTTTGTTTCAACTGATGATGATGGTGGTGGTGTTGGTGGTGGTGGTGACACTGATGATGATTATGATGATAATTTAAAAAAGGAGGAGGAGGAGGAGGAGGAGGGTGGTGGTGGTGATGATGATGATGATGATGATGATGATGATGATGATGATGATGGTGATGATGATGAAAATGCAAGTGATGATGAGGATGGTAATGATGATCATGATTATGATGATGAGGTTAATGATAATGTTGGTTTTGGTGGTGATGGTGGTGGAAATGATGTTGATGATGATAGTGATGAAGGTGATTTTGTTGATGATGATAAAGGTTATGATGATTAAAGTGATGATGATGATGAACGTGATGATGATAATAATGAATGAGTAATGATGGTTAATGATGGTAGTGCATGAGGATGAGGATGGAAATGATGATGCTGATAGTGGTGTTGGTGAAGATGATTAGGATAATGATTATGGTGATGATAATATCACAAATAGCAGTTTACCTAGTATTTAAATGTATTTAGGACTTAAAGCAGGACTGCACTACTCATAGCCACTTGCGCCCTCTTTATAGCAAACAATGGTAACGGCTGGTCCCCCTTGGTCCCCTTGTTCTTATGTTAATTGAGAGCTGATTTGATGAGATATTAACCACCTGTCAGTGACCATGCAGGGAGGTCTAATCTCTCCTGGCCACACTAGTACAGATTGGCTTTAACAGAACCTCAGACTGGAACAATGATCTAAATAACAATTGCAGTAATATTGTAGTCTTGACTACATGAACAGGCATGAATTCATACAAGAATACATTTTTCAAATTATTGTTCATATTAATGAAACTCATTGTTCTCCTTTTCATGTAAATGAATTTATGAAATTCATATTTATGGCATACATAAATTACATGTAGAATAAAATTTTTCAAAATATCTCTTCAGTAGCCAAAAAACCCAGACAAGAAAATCCTTATCTGCTATTCAGTCAATTCTACCAAATTAGATTGTAATTAATAAAACAAATGATTGTGTTTTTATCTTGCAGGACCTAGTTGGAAAACTGAAGGATGCAACAAAAAGCCTAGAAAAAGCAGCTCAAGGCTCATAGCAGTACAACCTTTTAGATGTAAATATACAGAGAGTAGTTTTATACGGGCGATAGCTGAGGATAGTAGAACAATATCTTATAATATTACACGCAACTTATGATAATTCATTCCAAGGTTTCTCAAACCATTAGCATTTAAAGATGTTTTTCAAGAAAGCTAAGATTTAAACTGTCAACATTTGAGAAACGACAAACAATGGTCAACAGTGAAAATATAATATAGTTACAATTTCATCCTCCAGAAATAGGGATGTTTGGTCTCTTCAAAGGCATTATAGATCTTTGTGTCTCTTTTAAATTAAAGATAAACTTTAGTACTGGTAATGCGATTGCATTGTGAAAGAAAAGGTGTGGAAAGGATCAGAAACAGTTGATCATGTAGCATGTAAGTATTGGTGTGCACTGCAAGGTTCTGGAGTCATCAAAATCATAATAAATTTGACCGAGTCTTGGTAAAGTAACAAGCACTCACATAGAAAGCTATATATGGGACAACACACATGGTGTCGGGGCTAGTACTACATTGATTTCCTGTCTTTCTATGCTCATTACTCAGCCAGTATACATTTTCTTCCAAAATTGTTTGGCACATGTCATTTATTTGTAATCTTGCACATTCAGTGTAAGTTTCGTTTGATTCTGTGAGAATTTTTTTTTTTTTTTTACCAGTACTGGAGTTTATCTTTAAGGTGATGTTGAGTTCTGGTCACTTGTTTACATTGTGAGGTTTTGGAATTGTAAAAACTATAAGAAATTGGCCCAGTCTTGATAAAATTCACATGCCCTGTACATAGAAATGTGTATATGTGACTACACAAATAGGTGGCATGAAAGTGTGGTCGACAACATTTACCTATTACTTGTCGTATGTTGAACTTGAGGTTAATTGAAGAGCCATCTGTTTCAGTGGACATTTTTCTTATCTTACTGATCATCTCTGATATAAAAAGAATAGAAAAGATCTGACAATTATTTTTTCAACTTCCCCAAAAGTCAAACATTCTCTATAACGCCAGATGCAGGCAAGTTTGTGATTTTTATGTGCTCTTTCCTTTGTACTAGAAGTATCAGGTAGCTTCTGTATGAAATCCAATAAAATACGCAAAATATGTTTTGACATGTGTTACTAAGTGACGTTTAAGTGACTAGTAGTGTATCGAAACAGATGTAGAAATTTGACTAAGCTTGAAATATGTAAATTAAGTTTTGATAGTGACAGTCACTATGAATATGACTGACAAAGAAAGCGGACAAAATATACAGTTCCTCAGGTAGACAAAGGAACATCCCTTCACTGCTATTATGTAAAAATGTGTAGAACAGGTGTCACATGCATATTCACCTTTTTACATAATAGCAGTGAAGGGATGTTCCTTTGTCTACCTGAGGAACTGTATATTTTGTCCGCTTTCTTTGTGGTCATATTCATAGTGAGTATGAACACAATTTGTATTGTGTCTTCAGATTAAAAAAAAAAATCTTAGATATCTGTCAATTTCACAGCTCATTCATGTATAAGTATTTGCAAAAATATATCTTTGTGGAGTACCGGTACTTAAAGTAGTATTTCAAAAATTGGTCATGGTTATGAAAGTAGGTGAAATAAAATGATCCCTGACTGAAAGATTATCAACTTTAGTTGTGTATTAAAGCCAAAGGTAATTTTGTAAAGGAATAATCATATATAAACTCTATTTTGTACAAATAAATCTAATATACAATGTAGATATCATGTATAGAGGGGAACTTTCATAGTATATGCATTACATTATCCCCATCCACATGCCGCTTCTCTTTAATTCTTTGCATTGATTTTAAACACTTATTTACTCAAAATCAAGTTTTTTTTGGTACTTTTCATATTGAATACAGTCGATGGACCGTTGAAATGACTTAAGTCCCTTTAAGTAGTTGTAATTACCACCGTTAATTTCATCTAATGCTTTATCGCTGTTCATAACCAAGCATAACTACAGGTAGCTTCTCTTTCTTTCTTTTTTTACTGAAATAAAATAGTTTTCTGTTTAAGTGGAACTTTGAGAGAAAATTTGTAGATCACTCAAGCAGATTTACATTTTTTTTAGTCGGTTTTAATTTAGGATTGTAAACTCAAAATGCACAGACGTTGACGAGCTATACATGTACATAAAGTACAATTATTTTGTATATACATTTATTCTAATAAAGACTATTATCAATAATGATTGAAGTTATTTATTTATTTTATTTTATTTATTATTATTATTATTATTATTATTATTATTATTTTTTTTTTTTTTTTGGGGGGGGGGGGCATTCCGCCCAAGCCCCCCTATAATTTATGACCCAACCCACTCCATTCCGTGTTTGGCCGCCCCTATTCACTGATTCACAATTATTCTAAACCTAACAGAAAGTTGTCATAGTTAACCTTTGAATGTCATATCAAATGTCATAAAGATATAGAAAGATCTATCACATCCCTTTTACGGCACACAGAAAAAAGGAAGAATGGAAGAAGAAAGAGAAGAAGGAGAGGAGAACGACTTTTGCTTCATGGATAACGTCGCGTTCAACAGAGAAAGGAATGACTGGAAAGAATGAAAATAGAGAGGGAGAGAGAGAGAGAGAGAGAGAGAGAGAGAGAGAGAGAGAGAGAGAGATAGGAGAGAGAGAGAGAGAGAGAGGGGGGATAGGAAAGGAAGAGATAAAGGGCAAAGAGATTTAAAGAGAGGAAGAGGGACATAGGTAACTAGGGGAGAGGGAGGGGGTAGGAAGAGAGAAAGGGGAAAATGAGGAGGTGGGGATAGCAAAAGAACGAAATAGAATTAATGACGAAAGGGACATGTTAAATATGAATTAAAGGTGATCATAAGTAAGAATATTTTGCTGCTGCTGCTGCCGTTGTTTATGTTTTGTTTTTATTGTTAGAAGAGGCCAATTGCAGATGAGTCTATATCCTAAAATTGATAAAAAATCAAATATTAGTAATAGGCATAATTACTCCCTTCTCGCTTCTGATAAGTCACCGGACAAAATGGAGTCTTTATTTAATATTTTCAAGTTAAACTCTTTCATCAAAACGCAATAGAACGTGATAAGTTATGAAGGGACTCGCTGCTTAATTAAAGCATCGTTGCTGTCAAATGAGAAGGTGAATGATTAAAGTTACATCTTGAAAGTGAAACTAGATTTACGATGTATGTGTCCATTTAAGGGGAAGTCCAGAAGCGCTCGCATGATACGTCTCAGTGTTGCCAATTTTTGTTTCATTGAAGAAAACAGTTTGTAACTTTCCTATTTCTAATTTTCCTCAAAATTTCACTAATTTGTTTATCTAGTTTTCTGCTTTTATTAAAACGAACTTGATATCAGGGTGGGCTTCCCCTTTAAGAAAGAATTGACAGTTTTAGCTTTACATTAGCTCAGTAGAACTACATGAACATGGTTATAACTACACTGTGATAAAGAATTGTGTTGGAAATTTTGAACTGTACATTTAAAAGTTTATCATTTCTTGTGTTATTTGCTGTCGTAAGGAGGGGGAGACAAGCAAATATCTCTTCCAAATGGAAACAAGAAAACCACTCCAAACGCATTGTTTTTATAAATAAGTTATTATTTATAAATTCATAACGTAAAAATTCATGTTTACTATGTCTAGGTGTTTTGATTTTATTTGTGAGAACAAAATTATCTTGCAAATAGAAAGAAATTTACACTAAAAATGACTTATTTATCAATAATTTATTTATCAACTCATATTCCGTAAACAAAATTTATTCAAGTTGAATGACATGAATATGAATTGTCTGGAAACACAGAAACACTATAATGTCTATTTCCATTTCCGAAAACAAAACTTATTCAAGTAGTATGAACATGATGATGTCTGTTCGGGAAACACAGTATGTCGCTATAATGTCTTTTTAATAGGAAAATTCTCAAATATGTCTATTAAAAGCCATTTTGAACAACAAAAAAAAATCAAAAAATCATGGAACACACTAGTCATGGCGAAATCATGCTTATTCAACCAATAGTCCATAAACAGATGTCTTCCTGTATGTAGGAACTTATGTAAATTGGTAACACCCCCCCCCCCCAACAGAAAATGTATGTTCGTGGTGAGAAAGTACTTATCGATCAAAAATAAGATTATTTGGGGAAAAGAATAGGATTTTTGTTCAGTTGGCGTTGGCAGCTCTGTATGCATGCATCTGTGAATTATCAACAGTTGGTTTATAGTATCCAAATAACACACGTGGATGAATATTATGTACTTATAATCACAATTAAACAATCGATCATAATCATTACAGCGATTTTCTAAAGTTGCAATTTTGAGAAGTGGCGTACATGTAGCATGGTTCCAGCCATTTTTTAGGGGTCGGAGGGGTCGTATCATTCTTCTGTTCACGTTCTCTCCCCCTCTCTCTCTCTCTCTCTCTCTCTCTCTCTCCCTCTCTCTTTCTCTCTCAAGCGCTCTCTCTCTCTCCTTCCTTTTCTCTCTCTCTTTCTCTCTCAAGCGCTCTATCTCTCTCTCTCCTTCCCTTTCTCACTCTCTCTCCTCAACTCTCTCCCTGCGGTCTGCGGTTAATCGAAAATACCTTACAAGAAGAATCAGCTTAAACAAGTCATGTAAACGTCGATTTGTCAAGAAGTTTATTTTCTCATTCAATGCTAAAGAGATTATTAATCATAATTAATGATGACGCCTTCTCACGTAAGACCTTCTGAAATATCCTATCTGTTAGAGTTGCTGATTAACAGATTTTTCAACACTATTTATGGTCTGCAGTGTTTACAATGTTAGCAATTTACAACTCGAATGTAGCCATCATAGTGCTGTGTATAGATTAATTATTTCATTACAAACTGTTTAATAATTAAACAATAATTTACTACTGTGTCTGTTTTTAAAGGGATAGTTGAGTTCTCTTTTCAGACCGCAATTGCCTTCAAAGTGCATGGTTATTGCTCTTATTCTATATGACATTTCTAGTGCCCTTTGAGGACCTAAAATTGCTATGAAGATAATTTTAGACCCCAAAATGTGTGAAATTTAGCCAATGCAATCATACCAATTCAGCTCCACTTTCCAAAAAATACGGTGACCGTTTATTAATTAATTAATTAATAACAATATATGGGCGGCTGGTTGGGCTTAATATAACCAACATGAAAAAGCCAACAAAAAAGTCAACATCGGCATTGGCTGAAATACAACGTAAAAGGCGCAATCCGTTTTTTCAACGGCATTTTCAAATTATCGAATATTAATTTTGTGGTGGTACACAAATATTAGAAATCGTTATATTTATGGATATTTTAGCCGTCTCTGAACCGATTTTGATGAACAAAGATGATTTTGACATTTAAATTGTATATGTTCTTTCAAATTTGGCACTCAGT